AAGCTGCCAATCTGAGTACAAGTTAACTTATTCAGGAAGATCGTGTAATTCTCTGTACATCAATGTCCTCATCTGTCCTGAAGTTCCTGAGAGAAGAATATGATTGGCCCAGCCATTTCCATGACAACCAACTCTACAGCTAGCCCACTTTTAAGTACCAAGTTCAAAATCTTTGCACTGCTATTAACCACACAGCTTCCCGGTTAACCTAAGACCCCAGACATCACCATGCTCATTCCCACTGTTCTCTTCTCCACACGCTGAGACCAGGGCTTGGCAAACTTTTTCTATAAAGAGCAAGACAAAAAATCTTTTCAGTTTTGCAGGTCAGACAGTCTCTGTTGCAACTGCTCAACTTGCCCCTGTAGGGCAAAGCAGCCATAGATAATATGTAAATGAATGAGTGCTGCTGTGTTCCAGTGAAATTTTATTCATGAACTGAAATTCGAATTTCATAGAGTTTTCATGTGTCACAAAACATCTTAATTTTGGGCCTGGCCGAGTGGCTCAGTTGGTGAAGAGCTCGCTCAAGAGTGCGAGCTCTGAGCAACAAGGTCGCCAGTTCGATTCCCCGCCTAAACTGAGCTGCCGCTGAGCTACCAACAGGTGGCAGGATGGCTCAGCTAAAAAAAAAAAAAAAAATCTTAATTTTTGGTTTAATCCGCTTAATAATGTAAAAACCACTCTTAGCTCCAGGACTATAAAAAACAGGTGGCAGAGTGGGTTTTCCCTGTCATCTAGGCCTTTTCCTATGATGCAACTTTGACAAATGGTTTAGAAGTTGGAGAGCAGTAGGAGTGGAGCTGTATTTTCTGAAGAAACGTTCTATAGAATCAAACGGTTGACTTCTCTACTTTTTTTCTTGCTTCCCTTTTTAACTTAGAAATAATTTGAAATTCGGCAAGTTGAGATAGTAAAGACAATGAAACACACTTGTTGATATTTAATCATAACAGTGCTGACTATTTTCACTTCTTTAAAAAATTACAATAAAGTCATGTCATTCTAGAGATATCATTTCTCTATCAATTTTAGCTGAAATACAATTCTACTTCTCTCCTTTTTCCCCCGACGCAAAATGTATTGCCTGAATGAGTAACATGCAAACAGAAGCAGTGAATTGTCAGTTTTCATCTATGACAACAGGGGAAAAAAACTATTAAAAAGATTAACAACACCGGGTTTTAAAAAGCTAAGAAGAAATATGTACTCTTGGTGATTACGTAAATTAGTGCAATCCTTCTTGGAGGTCTTAGGGAAGTTCTATGAAATATTAAAACATAGAAAATAACTTTTGACTTAACTATTCTACTTCTAGGAATTTAAAGTAACCAGACAACTCATCAAATATATATTTAGAATGAATTTCATACTTGGAAGAATATCATGAAAAAATTAAAACTATTTAAATGTCCAACTGGTTAAACAATGGAGGAATACATCAGAATTCTGAGTAGCATGAGTAATAATGATGTAGATAAGTATTTGACACAGGTATGTCCATAACATATTGAAAGAAAAAGCACATTAAAAACTACACATACTGCTTAATCTCAATTGCATGAAATGACTATATGTGGCATTTGTGTCTGTACCAGTCAGTGGATGTGAGAGACAGAAAGAAAACTGGGAAGAGTTAAAGAAATATTCACCAAAGTGTTCACAGATAATTTTTACTTTCTTGTTTATAGTTTTCTGTATTGTTTATATTATTCTGCGATGAGCGTGTACTGCCTTTCTAATTTTTAGAAAACTTATTAGGATGCACAACACCTAATGTCAACTATGGACTTGAAGTGATACTCCTGCGTCAATGCAGGTTCCTCGATTGTAACAAATGTACCATCTGGTGCAGGATGCTGACAGTGGGGGGTGTCGTATAGGAACTCTCTGTACTTTCCACTCAGTTTTGCTGTGAACTTAAAACTGCCCTAAAAAATGAAGTCAATTTTTTTTTTTTTAAATTGGGGAATTGAGGGAGGAGAACAGCGTTGGGGAATCGGGGAAGGGGAACAGACAAGTTGCTGTCCTTTTGTTCTTCAGTCTAGCTGTGGAGGACGTCGCTTCACTGGCCCATGTTGGTGTTATCACTGCGCTCTTCCCGGGCGAGGCAGATCGGTCGCCGGCCACCGGATGGCCGCTCACTGCGGCTCATGCCGGCTGCCAGCCACTCACGGCAGCCCACTGCAGCCCACGCCGTTGCCGGCGTCCCACCGCAGCCCACCTCCGGGTTGAGCTGCTGTTCACCATCTTAGCTGTAGAGGGCACAGCACCACTGGCCCTAATGTGGGACCCCAACCAGGGCACTGCTGCTCAGAGCTGGCATCCCAAGCCAACTCTCAACCAACTCGCCACTTGGCCAGCCCATCAAGTCTATTTTTAAAAAGACATTAATATACTTTATATGTAAACAATTCAAAAGTTCTGTTCATCAGAATCAACTGGAGCCCCCCAGAAGTGAACATGAAAGGCTTTGGTCAGAAGCAGCTGCAGGATGCTGCAGACTGCTCTGGGCGTGTGCCGGGTGGTCAGCGGAAGTGGTACATGAAATCCAGCATCCCAGCCGGCCAGCAGCTCCCCACCAGGAACTGACTAAACGATGTTCTCTTTGGAGGACCTCGCTGTTTCGTGCATTCACCCTGTGGATACTCTACTGTTTCTCTCCTGTTATTTCTGATTTCATAGAATGTTTTCAGTGAAAGCTGAGAGGACTTAAGACTGTGTTAGACAATCAGGGCTCAAGAAAAGCAATGTAACACTTTGTCTTTGATTAGCTTTAAAATGAAGTTCTAGCTAGGTCAAAAGACCAGGCTGCTAAAAGAGAAGCTGTTCTTAAGGGGCTTTAATGGAAGAACAGATGCCAAGATGATATTTTAATGATAAGCAGTTTCTATTACATTAATTAGAGACACTGATGCAAGTCTGAGGATAAGAGCAAGACGGCTAGAATAAATTAATGGGGAAATACTACATTTTACCTGGATCCTTATTTTCTTCTTTATAAAAAATACGTACATTATAATTTATGCTCCCTCTACTTTGCCAAAATGCATAGTTCTACATATGTCATACACACACACACACACACACACACACACACACACCTTTTAACAGAGCAAAAAGGCTTAAACATTTCTGTATGGAATATTCCTTGCAGTTGGAACTATCTGAATGGCATCCAGATTTTTTTTTAATTGCAGGAAGGAAAAGCCAACCCTGACGAGAACTAAATCTTTAAACCTGACCAACAAGGGCTGGCAATGTCATAAGGACTCACAAACTGGCATAGAATGAAGTATCTTGAGTTAACGATGGGATGTTAAGAGGCTTATAGAAATCGAGTCCCCAGTATGTCATGGCTCAAAACCAGTTTTCACCAAACTACTATTTCAATACAAATGGAGCTTAATGGACAAGAGGCACTATTAATATTTTATACAACATGCCCAACAATATCAAACTGCTATGTTGGGTAAAATAGGGACCGTAAATTTAGGTTTAGTATTAATGGATTTGCTCAAGCTTAGCCTTCTACACACAGAACTAGAGTACACCTTTCCCAGGTCCTTGACATCCTCACTCAAATAAGTGCTAACCTGGGAGAGAATATTGTGAATTTCCCTTGGGAAACAGTTCTAAAATTAAAAATGCAGTTTATTTTGGAGCATAACTTTGTGGTTAAGAAATGTGCGACCACTTCAGAGTAATATCATTTTTTGGACTGGGCAGTTTTTCTACAAATATAGCACTCCTTCACCTCAAAAGTGGTGAAAAGGCATAATGTAAATATTCTCATGGTAAATCCTCATTTGCAAAGGACCCTTGGGTTGTCATCAGATTTAATAAGGGATTCACAACAAAGAAACTCAAAATTACCGGGGAAAACTGTTGGAATTTTCAAGTTAAGAAACACTGCTTACAGCACCGAGAAAAACAGAATCTACTTCCAATGTTCAAATGCCACAGAGCTTCTTGATGGAAAGTGTCCAGACGTTTCCTGGGCATCTTTCATTTTTCAGCTTTTATATGTTTACATGTGAAACAGGTGTGATTCAGTTTAAGACAATCTGATAGGAATGCTTTTCCTCACCACCGAAAAGCTTCACTTGCTTTAAAAAGCAGTCACACCACTGAGTTCCTGTAAGAAGGTGAGGGGCTTCCCTGGGGGCACCTGATCTTCCAATGGAACTCAACTCCACATTAATGCTGAATTCGCATGCAACGTTCCTGGAAACAGTAACAGATTTTTATCTTCACAGCTATCTTCCTGAAATATATTTGTATTCTCTCCATTTTGAAATTGAGGGTTTTAGCCAGAGGTTAGGCATCCTGCCCAACTAAAGGTAGGATTTGAACCCAGGCAATCAAATGAGACATTCTGAACTGCCTCACGGTCAGACAGCAAACACCACTCTTGACATGAGGGCCCCACAGGGAAGAGCAGCTCACCTCTGCCCTTGACCACTTCGCCGCTACAAGGAGTGTGCTAACGCTCTGCTCTGCTCTGTCTCCCAGGGTTGCTCAGAGAACATGACATGAACAGAATGAAAGCCTTTTGAAGAGTTCAAAGCACTACATAAATGTGCCATATGCTAAATATACTCAACTCTGAATATTTCAGCAAAACAAGATGGCTTTCTAAAATACAGAGAAGACCCTAGCAGCGTTTTATCTGCAGCCACCTTGGGGTGTCTTTATGGTGTCTATCTGGAAGCCCGTAAAGTCACAGATGAAAGCCTTGGCTGTACACACCCTGAACAAGGCAATATAACGAGTGGATTTGACATTTATTGTTGAAGACGGCCAAGCAGTCTCAAAATACAAATGTAAACAGCAGTCAGTATCCAAGGAAATACATTTCCTCTTAATAAAAATACTCTTGATTTTAAGGAATACATTTAAACTGTTGTTTCAATTTCAAAATGTCAAATACTAAAATAGGATGGTTTTTTTTTAATGTACGGAACTCTGATAAACAAAGAACCAGAATTCTTTCTTACCTCCCACATGTACACATTATTCTTAACCTGAGATCTTTTTTTCTTATCACCAACAAATGGCCCAAACTTTTTGCCTTTTAAAATTGGTTTAGTGGCCCAGACACCTAGAAAATAAAACCAATATTTTTATGATGTATGTGGTTATTTTAAAGATTGAAGCATTAAAATCAATTCAGTTTCACAAAATAGTTAAAAGGCTAGACAGCCTAAAAACAAAATAATGTTAAATCAACCGAGGTCACAGTGAAATCAAATTAAAGTCTTCAATGGTGTTTTTTATTTTTCCTCTTTCTATTCTTCTGTATTTTCCAAATAGCCTAAAAAGAACCCCTTTTTTTTTACAGCAGGGAAGAAGAGAATTTTTTACATTTGCTTGTTTTTAATTTTTACACATAAAATTACCCAGACAATAATACAATCACAAATACTTGGAGAATACCATAATCGCAACAATTAGAAAAAGACCAGAATGTACTGAAACTACAAATAATTTCTGAATGCCTCTATGTTTCCACAGATTTCAAATTGTCTCAAATGAACAGAGCTACTGTTATAAAGGGTTAGAAATATAGTTTTATAGATAAATATTTTTGAAGTTTGTTTGCTCAAAGTGAAAAACCCTCTCCTCTCTCGTTAAGTTTCCTGAAAACTTAGCTACTGGAACAACTCACTTTTCAGAGTTCACACAGCCATGATTTCTGCTGCTCTGTGGGATTCTCAAGGGTATTTCTATTTCCTCTGCGCTGACAAGCAGCAGGAGCTGAAATGGCAAGCGACCGCCCAGAGTGAAGGGAACTAGCACGCAGCAGTGACGCTCACTGACGCCATCCCTGTGCACAGGGTCCCCTCATTTTCTGGCCTCGGTCTCCTCCTGTACAGAAGGAGGGTGGAGTCTCAGCCAGTCCTACTCAGTTAGGAGGGATGAATTCTGCTTTTCTGGGAATCCCGTTTGATAACACAGCTAATCATCAATTAGTGGAGCGATAAAATCTACCACGTTCATGTGAACGATACCATTTCCATGCTCAAGTTACTCACTGAGTCATTTTCAATGAGAAACAGAAAAGGCATTTATTAAAAATGTATTCACACACATATACACATAAACTGGAATATCAGAAGACCATCTTAAAAAAAGGGAAATGGGGCATAAACATGATATATTCCAAGACTAAACTCTTATTATAATTTACTTCCTCAGCCTTCGACTAAAGATTAGGACACACAAAAACAAGATCACATACACAAAAGCTTGGCTTGTGTTCAACAAGAAATCCCCGCATGAAGCATTCACATACACTTAGGTCATCATTCACTCAAATATCTGCTGAGGTCCATCAAGTGTCAGGTACTAGAGGCATAAAGATAAATAAGAGATGAAGGTACTCCCAAGCAATGAAAGGGACAGGTGTGAAAACAAGCACAAAATAATGAGATGAATATAATAGCGTAATCCCACTCCAGTCATAGTGAAATCAGAGGCGAGGGAGCAATACATCCTGTGGGAGGAAGAGTCCCTGGGAGACATGGAGAAAGGGGACCACTCGGGCTGAGTCGGTTACAAAGGACGGTGGGTGTGCCAGCGTTTCTGGTTTCATTTCATAATCTCTGTCCACCCTGAGCCCTTGACTGGAAATTGCATCAACACCACACAATCTTCCAAGTCAGAACGTCAATCTGTTCTTTTATGGTGAGCTCCCGACCTTAAATGTCCAAAGGAAACCTGGCTGCAGCCTGTTCTCCCTTCCCCGTCTCCATCTGGGACCCCAGTACTCACCGATGCGAGTCTTGTCAACAGCGGATGGGAAAAGCCTCACTTCCTCCGGAAGTCCTCGAAGCACATGTTGAGGTACCTCGGCCAGGGTCTCAGCAGCTGCTGCAGGCTCAGTAGCGTTCTGCAGGTCAAAAAAACAAAAAAAAAAGAAAACCCAGTTAGAGGTTTGTTTTTCTCCTGGTCCAATAAGCAAATATGCAAAAATGTAACTGAAAGCTGAAACTGGCAAGCCAGACCAAGACAGCTGATGTCAAGCATTTCAGGAGCTGCTTTGATGCTTGTTTGTGAGTCTCCAAAGGAAACCACTTCAACCTTCAAGCATGTCTGTGTTCATCTATTTTGTTGAGGCCACCTGTAGCCATTTTCAAAGTATGCAAATCTCTGGCAACATATTACTTTAAACTCCCAGAAAATCTGGCAGCAAAATACAGCTTAATCTTTCTTTTAAGTCCAAAGCTCCCATCAGCATTTTAAAACGTTAAAAACTCAAAAGCAACACTCCCTACTTTAATGAATACTTTCGGCACCTATTGTAAAGGGACCCACCCGACTCATGCTGTCATTCTCCAGAAACAACCCCCCTTGACAGGGGCTTGAACATTCCAGCCAGGAACACTACAACTTATTCTGGACCTTCGATGGAAGTGTGGCCCTTTCCAGAAAACAGTAATTTACCGCTGTCCATCAGTCATTAACGGCAAAGTCGCCATGATATCACAAAATCACTAAGAAATAGAGAATTTTAAACAATTACTAACCAAAATTTATGCTAAAATTCACTATAATCTTACGAAATCAGATTACTATTAGATATGTATATAAGGGAATAAAAGGGGGAAATCTGAACCAACTGGTAAAACATGACTGTTATTTCTAAAATAACTTTCAAATCGAAGGAAAACCAAGTGTCTATTAACTGGTACCACATAGACCATAAAGAACTGAGAAGTCTATCATGACACCGCTAAGAATGATGGGTTCTGGAGCCTGAGTGTTTTTTTATTTTGTTTTTTTTTTGTCACTGCAAAGAGAAACATTTCTCAAGGACTTTCAAAGAAACCAACGTAGGCAAAAAGCGAACTCCAAGTTAAAGAGATTCATTTTCCCACAACAATGATGCCCTTGTCGTTTTTAAGAATGTTCCATGCCAAGAAAAGAATATCATCCAAATTTGAGGACTCCCGGCATTTCAAGTTTTTTTTTAAGCATCAATAGGCTGCTTGAAGAGAAACAAGTCCCACGGCCCAGAGGCATTACGAAACTCCCTCCAACCGGCTCAGACCTGGAATGCGCAAAAGCAGGCATCTGAAGGCAGGACATTTCTTGGACAGGGCGAGGCCGACAGAGCCTGCACTTCAGAAGCACAAATGCTTCCATCGTCCTTGATTTACTCCTTGGTCCTGACACCACCACCAAGCCCAAGTTAAATGCCTTCCAAAACATGGGACTATCAAAATTGTCCCAGAAAATGGTCTTGTAGTATTTTTAAATTACGGTAGCTGAAGTGCAAAATTTTCTCACTTCTAAATATAGTGCCCCCATTTTTAAAACTGTAATCTATAAAGGAGAATTTTGGAAACGTGAATAAATTTTTTTATAAAGGGGGGGCCGGCCAAGTGGCTCAGTTGGTTAAGAGCTCGCTCAAGAGTTTGAGCTCTGAGCAACAGCGGTTCGAGTCCAGCCCGAGCTGAGCAGCCGCTGAGCTGCCAACAGGTAGCAGGATGGCTCAGCTAAAAAAAAAAAAAATTTTATAAAGGGGAGGAAGGTATTAAATTGGTAGTTTACAACCCTAGGCTATACAATAATTATTTTGAACACTGATAAATTAAGCAATATGAACAAGTACTAGCCAGTGATGAGTCCTATCGGCATGTGGCCATTTATCACAGGAAGAGGTCGTTTTCCCCCCCATTTCAGACAGGACCCTAAACAAAGATTTTAAAGGATTTGACACCATTTAATCTCCCCAGGAGCTTTGAAAAGACAGTGTGTCAGCTAACCTAAACCGATACTTCCAACACTATTACAGTAATACTAATAAAAACCTGATATGTACTGAGAACCTCCTCGCGGCCTCTGCCAAGAACTGTGCTCTAACCCTCTTATATGCATGATGGAGTTTGCCCCAAACAAACCAAGAGGCAGGGACTGTCAGTCAGTGCCTCCTCCCAGCCACACCTCACCCCGTCACCCCCTCACCCCCCGCACACAGGCGCGCGCATACACACATGCACACACACACGAGGAAATTGAGGCTTAGGTAAGTTGTCCGAGTTGCTCAAGGCCAGAATTCGAACCTTCGTCTGTGTGACCCAGAGCCCAAACTCATAACCACTGTGATGGTTTCAGTTAAGATTCTGCCGGATAAGTTCTGTCTAAGGATCCAACATAAAACATGGTGACTATAGTTGATAACACTGTATTACAGAACTGAACTTTGCTAAGAGTATAGAACTTAAATGTTTTCACACACAAAAAAAAACCCCATAAATATAAGAGGTAATGGATGTGTTAATTAACTAGATGGTGGGAATCCTTTCATAATATATACATGTGAGTATATCAAGTCACCATGACGTACGCTTTAAATATCTTAGTTTTGTTTGTCAATTATACTTCAATAAAGCTGGGGAAAAAAGAGGAAGGTTCTGCTGGAATATAATCTAAGAACCTCTGCCCTGAAACCTCCACACATCTGCAGAAATGTCAGCAAGGAGATGGCGCCTAAGGCAGGCATGGTCATTCCCACAGGAAATCTGTTAACTGGAGTCTAAATTGGAGACCATGTATATTAAAATCTGTGAAATATCTGTGAATATAAAGGACCTCAGCAGAACTGCCATAGGAAAAAGAAATAAGGACAATTCCTACGCATTTAGTTACCTGCTTTCAGCCAACCCATTATTTTTAATTTGGACTCATTCACCTAGTTGGGAAAAGCTTTTTTCCTATTTTACACGACACTTCACACTACAACGGGACCCCACTAAAATAGGAGGACCTCAGTCCCCACAAAGCCATCCAGACACTGGCCAACTCCAGGGCCTCTCCCCGCTCACCAGCTGTTGGGCTCTCCACTGCAGTGGTCATGGCTGGAAATTTACCCAGAACCTTTTTAGAAAATCAGTGATTTGAGAAGTAGACGGTGGATGGCTTGCCTATAGAGAACCACCCTCTGCCCTTATTTTTCTTTCCTAGCTCTTATCACAATTTTAAATATAGTCATTTGTATAATTATGAGTTTAATGTGTCTCCCATCAGACTGCAATGGAGACAAATGGTGTCTACCTTATTCAGAGCTGCACTCCCAATGATTAGCAGGAGACATAAAATGTCGTCACTTAAAATACTTGAATGAATTAATGATCCTTGTGAACTAACTTAAACCTTTTTTAGAAAAAGGAGGGATAGAAACAAAACAGTGGGGTCATCTATCAGAAACCATTTTCTCCATGTGTGCCTGAATTTCTTGAATTTGAGGTAGGTATTCTTCTGTGTCAATAAAAGAATCCTTTTTTTTTAGAATATGTGATATGCTCTCAATTCCAAACACCAATTTACAAGTAAACCTTTGGAATGAAGGATGCTTAAAAAGAACATTTCTCGGGCCAGCCAAGTGGCTCAGTTGGTTAAGAGCGCAAGCTCTGAGTAACAGAGCCACTGGTTCGATTCCCACATGGGCCAGTGACGCTGAGCCCGAGCTGAGCTGCTGCTGAGCTGCCAACATGTGGCAGGATGGCTCAGCTGGTGTAACAAGACTGCCTGTTCGATGGTGGGCTATGCCCACTCGCAACTAAGATTGTAACACAGCACCTTGAGCTTAGAGGCCACAAGCTGCCAACAGGAAGCCACATGGCGACTGGCGCCCTCCACAACAAAGACTGAAGAACAACAACTTGGCTGGTCCCCTTCCCCAAGCCCCCAATTAAAAAAAAAAAATTTTCTCTTCCCCACACACTCATACACTGGAATCTCTTTTTTCTATATATCCTGATAGTATTAGATTTAAGATCATATTTAAACAGGGTCATCTTGGTTCTTATGCTAAAGAATCACAGTTTGATTCTGGGAATGTTTCCCTGATTGATTCTGTCTAAAAGAAATTGCAATATATACTCAATTAATATATTAAAATATTTCTGAGTCCCTTCTATGGGCCAGGCAAAGTTTTAGGCATCACATATGCCTTAACAATG